GGCAATTAGGACAGGACTGGGGAGGAGGAGGAGGAGGGGGGGAGGGGGGCGACGAAGGAGAATCGAGGAGAGATAGAAGACGACAAAGTGGGACCAAAGGGCCGACATCGACGAAGGGGAATCCAGAAGAGATCGTTAATTAGGCGACGACAAGAGTAAGACAAGATGAGCCGTGGAGTTTTGCTTCGTGGCTCTTCGCGCGAGAAGCCGCGCGCCGCAACTGCGTTTCCGCCTGCCGCGACTGCGGACAAGCCCAGATAATTGCTGACTGGCTCAAAGGACGTGAAGCGCGGACGAACCGCCTGCGGAGTTCACTCGCGCGGGCGCCGCAACTGCGGGCGTCCGCAACTGCGGTTTCAAGCCCTCTCCCACCACGGTTGTAGCCCAGCTCCTTTGGTTGCGTCGAACCGCCCCGATATTGGTTTGGCGTGCAATCTCTTGTAGTATGCGCACGTGCCACGCCCCTCGCTCTTGCCGAGGCCCGCCCCCGGGGGCTGCGCTGCAAGGGCCCCCAGTGAGGCTCAACCCCATGCAGGCTGAACTTCGGACTGGGCCATTCCGGGTGAACGCGAGTGCCTGAGCCGTCGTCGCGGATGAGGACGGAATTCCACACGGGCAAGCGGACTGCCTGCGCTTCTCCTCTGTCCACCCCTTTGGCGTGCCTATTATGGTCGTAACTGCCAGGGCGCGGCCGAATCTCGCACCTGACCAATCCGCGACTGCGGTCGTTGTCAGGGCCGCACGCGACGATTTCCATTGTGGCCGCATCCATCTGCGCGACCAGCTGCAGCCGAGACCACGGGGCCAGTTCTGCGCGGCCCCACTCCCAGCCCCTGTTGTCCTGCGCCCCCCCGCGCCCTTAGCGCTTGGTAATGCGCGAAATCGCCTCCACAACTGCGGGGTCAACAACAGGAAATCGGCTGTTGAAGGGGTCAGCTGGGTTTTCGTATTCTTCGCGGTAGCACTTCAAGGCCGCGCTGTGCTGCTTATAGTGGCCATGCCAGCGCAAAGCGTAGGTTTGGACGTACTCCAACGTGTGCACCCCAGGGCGGTTTGCGTCCGCAGCTGCGGCACCTCCTCGCCCTGGGACATGCGCCACTGCGGCTTTCCCCCTGCCCTTCGCGTCGTCTGCCGCTCGCCCTGCGGGGGCGCCCTCTCCTTGGACGTGCGCAACTGCGCCTTGCCAGTGGTTTTCGCGGCCGCCTTCCCATCCGCTCCAGCGGCCGCCTTCCCAACCGCTCCAGCGGCCGTCTTCCCATCCGCTCCAGCGGTCCTGCTCGCGTTCGCCTGCGCCCTCTCCTCCACCGCTGGCGCGGCCCCCCCAACTTCCACTGGCGCCATGAGTTCCGCCGCCACCCTCCTCTCCGCATTGCCAACCTCCGCCGCCGCACTCTCATCCGCGACTGCGGTCAACTCCGCCGCCGTTTCCCCATGCGCCAATCTCCGCCTTGCCATCCACCACTGCGGCCATCCCCGCCGCCCCATCCGCCGCTGCGGTCGCCCCGCCATCCACGAGCTGCCCCATCGCCGCCTTTGCCCCATGGAGGCCCCGCAATTGCGGCCCTATTTTTCTATGCTTCCTCCAGGGCCGCCGTTTCGCACATAGTTGCCAATATGTGCAATTCTCTGTCCATCCTGCGCAGGCGCGAGCCCGTGCCACCGCCGACGTCGGCGCTGGTTTGAGCCGAGCGGCACTGCTTGAGCCGAGCGGCACTGGAGGAGGAGGGCGGGGGGGAGAATGCAGCGAGGAGGATCGGGGTGGGGGGGGGGGGGGGGGGGTCGAGAGCTCACCTTTCCAGGGCCCCCCCCCCCCCCCCCCCCCCCGTGACCGCTTCCTCGCGGCGGGGGGGGGGGGGCAGGGCCCAGGGGAGGTGGTCAGAACGCGCCCCGCCAGAGCGCGACCCCGTGACCGCTTCCCGCGGCGGGGGGGGGGCGCACCAGAACCCAGGGAGGGAGACAAAACGCGCCCCTCCAGGATGCCCCCCCGCGACCGCTTCTCGAAGCGGGGGGGCGCCCTGGAAGGGCGGCGACGACGGCGGCGACGGCGACGACAAATTCAAACGTATATACCAATAGCAATCTATATACACACACATATGTATACATATATGTAGATACACATATATATATATATATATATGTGTATATATATATGTGTGTGTATATACATATATGTATACATACAAACATCCATCCATCCATCCATCCATCCATCCATCCATCCATCCATACATACATACATACATACATACATACGCACATACATATATATATATATATATATATATATATATATATGTGCGTATCTATATACACACATATACATATGTATGTATGCAAACACCCCTGAAGGCAGAAGGGGCAGAGGGGAATTTTCGATTTTGCAAGAATTACTCTGGATCGCCGCAGCTGCGGCTTTGTTGTCCCGCTGGGCCTCCAGAGGCCGAAACTGATGAGAAAAACCTCGCCGATCCTTCCTCGAACTCCTCCCCCTCCTCCTTCTCCTCCACCTCTTCCCCCCCTGGGCACAGCGTGGCGACGGACAGGAGCCATCGGCGCACCTTGCAACAGCCCTCTCCACCTTCTCCTCCTCCTCCTCCTCCTCCTCCTCCTCCTCCTCCTCCTGTTCCTCCCTGCGCTCTTCTGGCCAGAAATCCGCATCGTTCAAAGCAGTCCCAGGGAACTGCTTTGAAACGACCTCGATCGTCCTCATTATAAGGGCTTCTGGATTATGCCTTGCGAGCGGACAGCGTGTCGCTCCACTCCGCGGGGCGGGATGCTGGGAGAAACTCGAGCCGGGCGGGATGCGGGACGTGGACAGCGTGTCGCGCCGCATTGGGCGTGGCTCAATGGGGGGGTCAGAAAGGGGGGGGTCCGAAACGGTCCCCTTTCGTGCCCCTTCCGGGCCCCTCCCGAGCCCCAGGGTGCTCGTTTAGGTACCGTTTGGGTACCTTTTCGGACCACCCTCGCGACCCCCCCACTTATGGACCCCGCCATTACGCGACGCCCAACATCAGCGCGCTGGGCAAGAGCCGGCGGAGCGACAAGCCAGGCCTGAGTTCCCGACCGTACGGGTGTCGGTGCGCTCTTCCTCCCTCGGAGGGGGAAGGGGGGGAGGCACTGGCGGGGGCAAGGCTCTCGACACCGAGGCGGGGGGGCTCCAGGGTCTGGAGGCACTCCAAGGCGTGGCGGTGCAGCCCAAGAAAGAGAGAGAGAGAGAGAGAAAACAAAAAAAAACAGGTTGCCTCGCTGGCCTGCGCCACTGCAGCCATCGTGCTGTCATAGGGCCTATAGGGAGCGCTAGATGAGGAACGAAGGGGCCTTCTCAGCCACGGCGGGCCTCGACCACGAATAGGCCCCCCGACATAGGTTTAGGGAGAGGGACCCGAAAACCAGAGCTCCTCCTGAGCCGGGAGTGCTTGATTGAACGTCTTGACCTACTGTACGCCTCGCCACCGAGCGAAGCGCGGTTGTCTACGCACCCTCGCGCCGCCCCCCCCTGGAGAATAACGTACAGGTCCAGGCCCGAGAAACGCGAAGCACGGCTATCTTCATGGCGAGGATGTCTGCACTCGCTGATTTACATGGCCTCTAGGCATAAGGAGGGCGAAGAGGTGGAAAGCACCCACGGAAAAGGAGGAGGGGAAAAGATAGCATCCTCATCTTCCTGCGACGGCTCCCTGAAAGGCAGACGCGCCAAAAGGCCTCGCAATCCAGCAAACACTGCCATCCCTGACCACATAACCATCACCTCCTTCCACCCTTCTCGTTCAGGCCCGCCCACCTCAACACCTCACATCCTCCCTCCCTCCCTCCCTCCGTCTACACAACTCCTCTGCCTCCACCTCTCCTCCCTCCCACCCGCTCTCTCTCTCTCTCTTTCTCTCTCTCTATGTATATAGTTAAATATAGATATGTATTTATATATATACACGTGTTGTTATTTTTCTCTGTCCCTCTCTTTATCTCTCTCTCTCTCTCTCTCTTTCTCTATTCCTTTCTCCATGTCTGTGTCTGTGCGTACGATAACTACGTATCGAAGTGCATGTATGGGGATACAGTTACATGATACATATCTATATATATATATAGAGAGAGAGAGAGAGAGAGAGAGAGAGAGATCGGTCTCTGGACGCGCCATCCAGCACCCTTTCCTCCTGGAAGATGGCAAAAAGAAAGGGACGGTTTGGGCGCGTGCACCAGCCGTGGAGGCGGAGGCTTCGGAGTGGGTTGGACGTGCGTTGGGGACGAGGGGTTTTGAGTACAGGGTGCTATGTTGTAGACGGAGGGGGTCGAGTGGAAGGTTATGTTCAAGTTCAGCTTGGGGAGGGAGCCTGTTGAGTCTTGGGTGGCACGTTGGAGACGAAGGCGGATTAGTACTGGGTGTGCGGTGTAGACGGAAGGGGGTTGAGTGGAAGGTTATGTTCAAGTTCAGCCTGGGGAGGGAGCCTGTTGAGTCTTGGGTGGCACGTTGGAGACGAAGGCGGATTAGTACTGGGTGTGCGGTGTAGACGGAAAGGGGGTTGAGTGGAAGGTTATGTTCAAGTTCAGCCTGGGGAGGGAGCCTGTTGAGTCTTGGGTGGCACGTTGGAAACGAAGGCTGGTTAGTACTTCTCAACCATCCTGTGGGGTTGGGTCCTCGCTTTGAAGAGACAGAGCACCGAGTGCCTCCTCCTCCTTTCCTCGCCTCCTCCTTCCCCTCCTCCCTCCTCCGCAGTTCACGTGCGTCCCCCCAACCCAGTCGACGTCTCGTGGCCCCAGAGGGAGCTCCACCGAAGGACCCAGTGGCGCAGTCCGCACCGCATGCGTCCCCCAGAGGAGGAAGGGAGGAGGAGGATGAGGAGGAAGAGAAGGAAGCAGAGGAAGAGGAGGAGGGAGCAGGGGGGGGCGTTGAAGGAGGTCGCCGTCGACGAGAGCAGGTCGCCGTCGACGGGGAAGCGTCGGAGACGCGGAAGGTGATGACAAGTGCCTGGAGCCGCGGGGCTATTGGCGATGGGCGCTCCTGCTCGGCCAGCTGGTCTATCGCGAAGCGGTTCGCGGCCTTGCTCTCAGGGCTGAGCACGATGACGGACAGCGTGGGCCATCCTACGGGGCCAGGACAGCCAGCGGACAGCGGATGTCGGCGCGCACACAGGGGTGGCGCGAGGGGGGTCCTTCCAAGATGGCGAGGGGACGCTCGGAGGCCTGTAAGATGCCTGACCAGAAGCCTCCCGTCTTCTACGTAAGGAGGCCCCCTACCTTCCAAATGCCCCTCGGCCCTCTTAGAAGACCCCCCCTCTTGGCACCACCCCCGTGCGCGCGCAGCCGAATCGCGGCGCACATTGCGACACCTGGTCCCCGACTTTGTCAAGTCTTTCGTCGACCCGACAACAGTTTCTTGAGGCCCAACGCAGGGATATACAGCCGATCGACCCTACCACGAGGGGGCGTCTATACTGGATAGGGGCGCGTCCAAATACAGTCGTCGGGCTGTCATACGGAACGTTGCATGAGAGACGAAGGGGCATTTGGGACGTTGCACAAGGAACGCTGCATAATGGACGCAGGAATCCTGCATAAGGGTTGCACGGCGAGCCTCGGTCCCGAATGGGCCCCACGACCTGGACCTGAGGAACGGCCAGAGAAACAAAGCCCCTCCTGAACCCAACGTGGCCCTTTTTTTCCGCGTCTTGACCATGCTCGAGAAGGTGGCCTCCCCCGAGATGCATCAACGACGCCGGCGATGCAGCGGCGACGTCCGCGTGGAGAAGATCGAGCTTCACATCGAGCTGCATCGCCGAGATATAGGCGCGATCATCAGTCCCCGTCTGCGCGGAGCCCACCTAGGAGGCCGAGAGGAGCATGCCCAGATCCGCCGTCTCAGGGTTCGCGCCAGGTATCTCGAAGGCCTCTCGCGGAGTGGTTGATGTAAATGCCTGCCCCCGCCTGTGAGGGCGGCAGGAGAAAGTCCACATGCACCGAGGGGCCCAGGGCAGGACTCAAGCGGCTGCGCACGTGGACGCCTCCACGCGGTGCCCGACTTCCCCGTCTGTGCTGAGCGTGGAATCGGAGAATCAGCCCGGCCAGCGCCAGGCCTGCTCGGATGCAGCTGGAGCAGCCCGGACGTTGTTTCGACCCGTGAGCCGTGGCACTGCCGCCTCGGGGCCGCAACGAGTCAGGTCAACACTCGGGTTCAGGGGCCTGGCTGGCCCGAGCGCTGACCAGACGCTTTGTTGCTGGAGGCGTCCAAGAGGTGGGCTCGCAAATCGCGGCCGCAGACACGCAAGTGGCCCACAGGGGGGGGATCAGGGAACGCTTGGAAATCCGCCGACCCTGTCGGCGTGTGCGGGGTTTCTGTCTGGTCCCGTCGACGTCCCGGGAGCCTTCTTTCGTCCCCTCCTTCCCATGCTCCCCTCTCGTCGGGGGACAGACAGAGAGAGAGAGAGAGCACCCCTCCTCGTTCGGGGAACGGATTCGCAGCTTGAGGGAAGTCCATCTACGTCCTCATTACGTCGAAGGGAAGCTCCTTCACTTTGTCTCTTCGGCGGGATCCCCTGGGGGGGGGATCAAATTCGCATCGCCTCTTGGGGTCCTCCTCTCCCACGCCGGTCCTTCTCTGGCGCGCCGGTCCTCTTCGGGTCCTCCTCCTCCTCCTCCTCTTCCTCCTCCTCCTCCTCCCCAGGTGGGGGGGAGTCCCAGAGGGAGGGGGGAGTCAAATACGCATCCGTCCCTGGGGGTCGTCCTCCCCCTCCCCTCCCCTCTCCCACTCCGGTGTTCCTCCGGTCCTCCTCCCCAGAGGGGGGGGTCCCAGGGAGGAGTCCTTTTCGTCCTCCTCCTTCTCCTCCTCCTTCTCCTCCTCCTCATTATCTCCTCCTCCTTCTCCTCCTCCTCCACCTCCTGGTCGTCGTCGATGTCTTCCAGGGTCGGCGGCACCGGCCGTCAGGCCTTCACAATAAGAGAAGACGTCATGATTTATCCGGGGTGACATCATGGCGCGGGCCATGATGCGTAGCGCGCGAGGCCGGCGAGCGCCCATCCGGGAAAAATATGGGACACGGTCGTCATGCAGCTGATTGTTTTTTCGACACGACGGAGATCAGCAGGGGGAGACGGAATAGGAAAAAGGAGAGGGCGGCAACGAAAATGAAGGGTTCAGATCCTTGCCATCGCTCGGGCGATCACTCTCCGTGCATGTTTCGGCATCGTGCGTATTTTGCTAGCAAGATGATCCACCATGCTCCTCAATGGTCCGCGCCGAGAAAATATGCACTCGTCCGAGCGATGCCAAGTATCCAGATTCGGGACCTCCATGTGGGCGAGAGCACCATTCCGAACAGCGCAAGCAACGCACCGATCCTGGAATGCGGCCAACGCCACAGCGGAATGCTCCTGCAAAACTGCGCTGAATAGGAAGCTCAGGAGGCAACTCCTGGGAGGTCTTCGCAAGACGAACAATAAACTACCACAAGCTGTTCAGGGGCATTAACTCATTAATACAGCCGGACTGTCCAAAACTAAGCCTGGGACTAAGTGGATCAGGCCGGATGAAACCGGCTTATTTAAGCCGAAATGTGGCACCACGGTTTAAAACGGATTCAACGGGACTGTGCTGGATTAGGCGGGGTATGCTGGATTTGATCACTCTTCGGCCACGGGTATGCCAGCGCCGATGCTGAATTAAACCTCCCTGGAGCTGCATCCTGAGGAGGGGGAGCAGACACAGAACAGCACGACGACAAACTCAGCGATTGAATCGTGCTGCCTCAAACGCTGCGCAAACGAACGGGATTCAAGCGTCCAGACAAGTAGAAGAGCTGTCCTACGAGCGATGGCTGACATAATTGATGGATTTGTAAACGCAGGCTCAAAACCGACAAGAAGAGGCGCGGGCAACTGACACTGATCGAGCCACTCAAATCGAAGTAGTGATAGGATCCGGGATTTGGAAAAACGGTCCCAGAATTAGAAAATCCGTTTTTGAATTTAGTAATCAGGTTTTTGCGCTTACTAAATGATGGTGTGTCTTGTGTTGATTAAGCGGCCCAATTTCAGAAATCCGTTTCTCGCTTTAGTAAATTGTCGTTTTGTTCAATCAATTGTTTTAAGAATGTGCGCTCATTCATCACCATGACCTATGTTAGCCGGTGAGAAACACTGTGTACCAAGGATCCATGAACGTGCAAGTTGGGAGAGATGGAAAAGTACGGAAGGGAGGGGATAATGGAAAGCGGCAAGGGCGAGTTGGAAGTGCACACGCTGCACCTGACATCTGCCCCCTCCCGCCGATCCCTTCTCATTGTACTGAATTCTCTTCTGTCCGCCGAACACGGAAAACTGGGAAAAAACAATATCCAGGCGAAGGACCCAACCATAGGCAAGTGTGAGAACCGCAGGGGTGCGCCAAAATGGGGCGGGGCCGCCATGCGAACCCTGCCACTGGGGCCTTTGGTGGAGCTCCCTGTGGGACCACGAGCCGTGTGAGGGGTGCGCCAAAATGGCGCGGGGCCGCCATGCGGACCCTGCCAACGGGGCCTTCGGTGGAGCTTCCTATGGCTATGGGGCCACGAACCGTGTGCGGGGTGCGCCACAATGGGGCGGGGCCGCCATGCGAACCCTGCCTTTGGGGCCTTCGGTGGAGCTCCCTATGGGGCCACGAACCGTGTGAGGGGTGCGCCACATTGGGGCGGGGCCGCCATGCGAACCCTGCCACCGGTGCCTTTGGTGGAGCCCCGTATGGGGCCACGAGCCGTGTGAGGGGTGCGCCAAAATGGCGGGGGGCCACCATGCGCACCCTGCCACTGGGGCTTTCGGTGGATCTCCCTGTGGGTCCACGAACTGTGCGAGGGGTGCGCCACATTGGGGCGGGGCTGCCATGCGAACCCTGCCAGTGGGGCCTTCGGTGGAGCTCCCTGTGGGGCCACGAACTGTGTGAAGGATGCACCTCAATGGCGCGGGGCCGCCATGCGAACCCTGCCACCGGTGCCTTTGGTGGAGCCCCCGATGGGGCCACGAGCCGTGTGAGGGGTGCGCCAAAATGGCGCGGGTCCGCCATGCGAGCCCTGCCTCTGGGGCCTTCGGTGGAGCTCCCTGTGGGGCCACGAGCCGTGTGAGGGGTGCGCCAAAATGGCGCGGGGCCGCCATGCGAACCCTGCCACTGGGGCCTCCGGTGGGGCTGCCTATGGGGCCACGAGCAGTGTGAGGGGTGCGCCAAAATGGCGCGGGGCCGCCATGCGAACCTTGCCACTGGAACCTTCGGTTGAGCTCCCTATGGGGACACGAACCATGTGGGGGGTGCGCCACATTGGGGCGGGGCCGCCATGCGAACCCTGCCACTGGGGCCGTTGGTGGAGCCCCGTATGGGGCCACGAGCCGTGTGAGGGGTGCGCCAAAATGGCGCGGGGCCGCCATGCGAACCCTGCCAGTGGGGCCCTAGGCTCTGCCTAGAGGGTTCTTACTTTAAATCTTAAAAGGCCGGGCAATGGATACCGCCCCGGGCGGTTCCCCCGGCATCCGCCCCGCGGTTCCCTCAGTCCCCTGGGAGTTTTAGATTTAGCCTTAGCTTTAGTTTTAGCTTCAACTTAGCTTGAGTTTAGTTTTAGCTTAGCTTTAGCTTAGCTTTAGCTTAGCCTTAGCTCAGCTTCAGCTTAGCTTTAGCTCAGCTTTAGCTTAGCGTTAGCTTAGCTTTAGCTTAGCTTCAGCTTAGCTTTAGCTTTAGCTTTAGCTTAGCTAAAATGAAGCTGTAGCTTAGCTTGACTGTTACTACTAATGCTACTTTCCTAAGGGCTCCAACTCCTAGGTAGGGTCACACTGGGATAATTTGTGCAAGTCGGTTCCGGCAGCAAGAAAGGCTGGCAGCATATTCTCCGAATGCGCAACGCAACGGTCTGCTGCCCCGCGAACATAGTTCATGGTGACAGCCCCTCACTGGCGTGGCTCACTACGTCGCATAGCGAGAACAACCAGTGACATGCGAGCGTCTGCACACTTACCTCCGCGATGTACATGCTGCCTCGCATTCGCGAACACAGCTCGCGAAACGCGCGTCGGTCGTTGCATTCGAGAACGCAATTCGGACATGCGACGCCGAGTCAATTACCCAGTGGCGT